TGAGTTCAGCGGTGATATACAGTGACATCATGACTGCTGAAACTGAGGGGTTCCGCGATTCCGATGCTCATAAGAAGACTCCTATATTATACCATTTGCCACTTGCTTTAGAATATTATATAATTATACCAGTTCTTGCGCTAGGACCACTGACGTTCAAACACACAGATCTGCCGGACTACCTTACACCTCCGACAACATCAGTATCATGATTGGGTTTTACGGTTGCAACCCTAACCCTGCACCCCACAACATGACTTGAAGGACTGCGCTTTGGATGACTCAATCTGCGGTCAGGGCTTACACAGGGTTTACGGGCTTAGCGTTTAGGGGTTTACGGTTTGGGATTTATGTATAGGGTTCGGGGGAGGAAGTTCTGATATCGTACTACAACTCAACCCTCGGCCCAAATAGACCTATGTACACCGAGGAATCTGAACTCTACATCCGGTTTGGGGTAGAGATGAGAGTTCGAGTACAACTAGTGCGGAGCACTAGGACCCAGACGCGTATAGTAGAAAGACCACTGACAAGATACGCAAGAAGCTTAAGAGACCCACATGGCATAACCTGGTCCTAGGCCTTAACATAGCCTGAAAGCCTTATGTCATTACATTTGAATACTTGGGTTCTGTTTCAATACCTGGAGTTTTGGGGCTACTTGCTTACATACACAGCGACAGCCCCAAACCCCGGATGCAGCAAGTGGTAACCCCGCCATAAACGAAGATGAGTATGGTGTTTGGTGGTGATGCAAATGTAGCATGGCATCAACACACCCTGAACACACAGCAAGCGCCTTGCCAGCTGGAGTGTAGATCAAATGCAGAAGCGGACTTCATGGTTCAGTCAAGCTGCGCTGTCTCATCTGCACCCAGCCAGTCTCCATACGCTTCTCCGACAGGAACAGGGTTGTAGCACACCTGTAACCAAACTCTCCATCCTTAACCCCTGCAGATCATCATCAATCCTAGATGCCACGCCATGAGTCTTTTGCATGTAGAATCACTACGGTTTCCGGCTTCTCGAATGCAAGCCGACTGCTCTCCCTAGATGCGCTCAACTGGACTAGGCTGTTTCAGCGAGCAGTATACAACAAAAACAGCAGACAAAAACGCAAGCTCGCGAAGAACAAGCGAAGGTACACCTCTAATGTCCTGCTGGTTGCCGCTCTTTCGAGGGTCTGGCTGTGTTCTTTGTATACATCAGGACATCCATTCTGATTTCAAGGGGTCTGGTCTTCGAGATCAAAAATGTCGTAGGTTGGCTGGCTACTTACATGCATGTGACCCAAGGATAGAAGCCATCACTGTGGAAGAAGGTTCATTTATTTATGTGATTGTTGGCTCTCCCTAAACCTTTAAACCCCCAAACGTGATGGCGATGAAGGGGCTCTTCTCTGTAGTGTGACTGCGAGCAAGGAGGACAGGAAGAACAGGAATAGGTGCATGAGGAGGCTGGTGAGGGAGCTGGTAATTCAATGATGTTGTTAAGAAGCCGATGAAGCGAGCAGCCGACACGCCGAAAAAGACGATGGTCCTGACCCGAGCCTTATGTAGCCTCTAGATATGCCTGAGCCTCGAAAACCTAAAACCATCTGAGACCTAAACCGTAACCAATGGCCCTGCAGCATAAACCTGGCGGAAACCCCGGAAGCAGCGCAGTTACTATGCAGTGGGTTCGTGCTCTACAATACCCCAAACCCGACCCGTAGAAAGCCAGAATCCTGCCCCCCAAACCCAAAACCCTAACTAAACTCCCTAAATCCTATAAACCCAATAAGCCCTAAACCAAAACCATGTAAAACCTACGCCAGAAGGGCACTCTTCAAGGATTCCTCTGCGGTTTCCCCTCTCGACGAGGCGAGCGGCCCCCCTTCCGAAGAAGCGCTGACCGTCCACGAGAAGCTGCCTCGGAAATGTCCGCTTATCAGGGTTCCTTCCCATGGTTTTCTGAAAGAAACCTGCCTTTTCAGGGTTCCTTACCGTGGCTTCCTTATATAAGTGATTGGAAAGGTAGGTGATTTAGGGTCCAGATAGGCTTCTGGCTTAGGGGGTTTGGGGCCAAGTAAGGGGCTTTAGTGACTTTAGTGTAATTACAGTAAACCCCACAAAGTTGGAAACTGGATTCAGGCCAAATACTGGGATTCCCGATACATTACTCTTAAGGATGGAGGCTCTGGGGTTTCCAACTTTTGGGCTTCTACTGTAGAGTTTAGGGCTTTTTGGGTCGAGGATGTTTCGGGGATATCGCTTTTCTTGGTGCCGGGCCCCCGGTCGGGCCGGGCCCGGGTTCGGCGGGGCCCGGGTCCCGGGTCCCGGGTGCGGGTCCTGGGTTCGGGGTTGGGGTGGAGGTGACTGGTGACGAGAAAAGCGGAAATAATGAGGGCTTCGGGTTTGGGGGAGGGAAAAGGCTGGGAAGGCTTGGGTTTGGGGCTTGGGCTTACATATAGGCTTCCGGAGCAAGGCGTTCGTAATGTGTCAACATGGCTCCATACTAGGATTTGGGTTTAGGGGTTTATCAGGTTTAGGGTCCCAGACCTGCCCAAATCCCTTAAGCAAGGAACACACCTTAATCATATTAGGGATCCTGGCTTAATTTAAAAGTACATTCCTGAACTAGCCCTAAGGGTCCAAGTACCTCATAATCATATACTCTCCAAAATCCTAACTTACGTGGCTACTACTGTTGATGATATAAATCCTGCATTACCTTAAGGACCCTAAACTATGGGAATTATGGTATATTCCTTACCATGAGTGATGCAGGATTTATATCATCAACCGTATCGTTGGATCCTTGGGGCCCTTAGGGTAAGGGACTCTGAAGGGTCCGGGGTCTTGATTGGATTCTAACAAGTCTTATGCTAGGCTGGAATACCGGGTATCATGGGGAAGTAAAGGTTAACCTTTTTGGATATATAGGGATTATAATATAGGGACTTTTCTACCCAAAAAAGGTTAAAGCTTGCCTAGTCTGCTACTAGGAATAGAGTAAAATAACAGGGTATTGACGGGGTTAGGGCCATTACCGGGGCTTAGAGTAGGGGTCTAACTAATCGGGTTGAATGTGTAGGTTATTGATCGAGCTGTTGTAGTAAGGCCTCAATCGAGTTTAGGGCTTTCAGTCAAATAATGGTAGGTCTGGTAGGTGATAGATGGGTTTTGGACTAAATCTATCGGTCAATATTTGCATCTCGTTTTCACAGGACAGAGATTCATGCTCTGGATGCCTATGGCATTTTATCGGCGTCCACCTCCCCCGCTCCCAGCACTCGTCGGAAGCCCGGAACCCCGAGAGCGTGAAACCCTAAATCTTGAACCCCCGGAAAAGCAACTTCTTCAGGGCTCCTTGTTTTTATGAGATCCATAGATACGTACGCCGTACGCAGGTAACGTTTCCATCGGCTCCTACAACAAGTTGGCTTATTTCCGATCACTCGGGCACAATAAGGGTACTATGACGGAGCTCTGCGAGGGCTCGGAGTTTAGGGGTTCAATTATTACCCAGAGGCCCCATAGTAGTTCCTTTTTGGAGTTACGTCATAAGAATCTAAATATGAACCCCAAACAAGAACTACTATGGGCCTTTGGGTAGAGCATCCGCCACACGGTGAGCAACGCTGACCAAAGTCTCCAGGCACTTATACCCAATGGGTCCTTTATGTATAGAAGCCTTGCATTCTCCGCTGGGGATACCCCTAACCTTGCACCTAAGGATCGAACAATCTACATAAAGCTCTATGGTGCCGTTGAGTTTAGGGTTTAGGTTGAGGTCCCCTTGGAGCTGTAGTGAGGTTTGGCTCCCTGAAAAATCTCCGAAGGAAGGGCCTGGATGACTTGTCCACCGTCACCACCACGGCTCCTGACAGAGTTTCGGATATTGGTTTGTGGCCGGAATAGCTACTGTGTCCCCTTCGATTGCCGTCATAACATGCGTAACTAGATCCGAAACTTTTAAGAACAAGGTATACAGAACCCAAGATTGCTATTAACGTTTTGTATTATCACTATCAGTTACTATCATGTTATAACTACTCATCAGATGGTTAGAATTAAGGACCTCTCTATTGTGATCTATTCATCGGCTTCCGATATCCGGCCTCCAATTTGTAGAAGGAGCAGCGCCACCGCACCAAGTTTCCGACCGACATCCATCACTCTGGGGCTCATAGGCTTTTTCAAAAACATAGGTTTATAGGCTTAGGGGGTTTAGGGCTTAGGGAATCACCATCCCTTTGGGGGCTCAAGGTTTCTGGCGCTCGGAATTCGAGTGCCGAGCCTTCGATGAGGTTGATAGCTTTTTCTGCTGATTTCAATGGAATTTGCAATCCTTACGGGGAGTGGCAAGTACAGCTCTTTAGGGTTTAGGGTTTAGGGTCTGACAGCTTCAATATTCGATTCTCAGAAGTGCCAGCAGTGGTTGTAGGAGCTAGTGAATGGATAGATCACTCGTTCGGCTACCGCCCCTGCGCCCTACACTCTCTGAAGTGTAAAAGGAACTACGGGCTCTGAATGGAGGATCCTTGTTGTAAAGAACCTCGAACCACGGGCCCCAGTTTTGAACCCCTCATCATCAGGTCTTCATCGGCGCCATCCTATTGCCTCGAGCACAAAAGGCTGAACGCATGAGCGCCTCAAGGTGGATCTTCTAGGGGTTCAAGGATTCAAGGATTGGGTTGGGTTCACGAGGCTTTATAGGCTTTAGGGTTTATGGTCGAGGGGCTTGGGGTGGCAGAGCATGTGCAGATGCAAACATGCGCTCACTACTAGACTCGCTACATTGCATGTGCACTGTTCTGGGTATGCAGCTGCTTCTGCATGCACGCATGCATAGATCCGTCAAACCTGAAGCCTAAACCCTCAACCCTGAGCCCTAAACTACCATAAACCCTAAACCCACATACACCCTGAACCCAAAACCCTGAACCCCAAAACCCCTAAACCCCAAATTCCCAGACCCTGCACCACTCGACAGCTTTGACGATCCGAGATAGGGGCCGCCGTCACAGAAGAAGGCACCTCGCAAAGCAGGACTACCTATAGTCTCCATTGGAGTTCCTTTTTTTGGTTTAACAAATTATATTAAGGATCCTAAAAGGTAACCCCAAAAAGGAACTACAATGGAGACTATAGGTAGGCTGTTCAGTAACCCACTGGGAAAATGTATATACTTGTTGAGGCTTCTTATTCTATAAAAGGAACCCAGAAACCTGAAAGTAAAAAAGTGTACCACTGAACAGCCTCGAGGAGGCTCAAGGTTTTTGGGGGTTTAGGGTTTCAGCAAAAGGTAGCCTATGTCGAGGAGGCGGCTTAGGGTTCCAGAAAAAAGTATCCTGTGTCGAGGAGGGGTTTAGAGTTTAGGGGCTTAGGGTTTCAGAATAACCGAGGTATCCTATGTCGAGGCCGCTGTGTTTTTGGGCTAGGGTTTTGGTTTAGTGCTGTAGGAATTCGGGCTTCGGACGTAGGAAGCGTGCAAGAATGCAGGTCACACTTGTGTAATAGCAAAGGGTCCATTATCCCACTCGAATTCCTTTTATGCATCGCAAGTTCAAGCAGCTCTCTCAAGCAGAAAGACTGTGACAAGCGCAAAACACCAAGACAACACTAAACCCTGACACCCTAAACAACCGCAGTTACATAACACCCTCAGTCCCAAACACAGGGTTTTAGTGCTCTGGATCTTTGGTTGGAAGGTCTGAGTGCATTGTTACGGGGTCAGAGGTTGAGGTCTGGGTTTGGGGTGTAGGGTTTGGTCTCAGAATCTACAAGTTAGGTGGCTGAGGGATAAAGATCCCAAAACACCAATTTCGCCTAGCGCCCCCGAAGCAATAATTCCTAAACCATGGCGGTCTTCCTATACACCCAGCCATAGATCCTAAACCATAGGAACATGTTTGAACCAAGCGGCCCACCTGCCTCTCTAAAACCATGTAAATCCCTACTGTTTGCTTAAGAAACCCCCAAAAAATAAAAATAATAATCCCTATATTACCCCCATAAGGAATATATTTTTTATTTTTTGGGGGTTCTTAAGCAAATAGTAGAATCCCTTGTGGGTCCTTGCCAAGGTGCAGGCCCAGAAGTACGCATTGCCGTTGCTTACGTCAACATATCCTGACGGCGGAAAAAAAGCGAATTCAGGTTTCGGAGCTTTAAAGAGTGTTCGTAGAACTGTGTTGTATCCTGCTGTTTTCGGTGTTGGGTGGCTGATTCTGCGGTTAGAACGCCTGACGGTGTAAGGCTTCTGGGCTCAACTACACTGCTTGGCACTGCTTGGTTCCTCGTGTCTTTGCGAGGCCACTCGTTCGACCCTAAAGCCTAAACCCCTAAACTCCTAAACCCTAAACCCTAAACCCTAAACCCCTAAACCCTAAACCCCTAAACCCCTAAACCCCTAAACCCTAAACCCTAAACCCTAACCCCTAAACCCTAAACTCAAGAGTTGGGGACCTTCGTTCTCCTGAATCCCTAGCCCTTCAGGTTGGTGTCGCTGAGCAACCTGCAAGCCCAAACCATTTCTTAGGCCTAGACCTTGTAAGCCCTAAGGCCAACGTCGGGTCCATACCAGAAGCCTTGCTCCAGAAGCTCGCGCCCAGGATATGCCGTGAGTTTCAGCAGGGCTTGCAGATTTTAGGGTTTAGGGTTTAGGGATCCAGGATTGCCGATTTAGGCTGCTCAAGGCTTTTCTGGAGTTTGGAACAAAGGACGGGTCTAGAATAGTTGCGGCGCTACAGCCCGTAACCCAACGTCCCGATAAGCTTTACCTTAATTGCAACTACGAGAAATGATAATTATAGTTACCTAATTTGCAACCCTAGTTACCCTAGTTACTAGGTCCCATGATCCAAGTCGACTCGAAACCTAAAGCCCTGAAGCCAGAAAACCAAGTGTAAGGCCCAACCCCACAAGGTCCTCAGCTCTAATTTGCCAACTAGGATACCCAGTAACCTAAGAACAAAAAGGCCTCTCTTTTTGGTATTGGGTAACTTTATAAGGAAACAAGGACTACAAAAAGGGAATAAGGGTACTACTGGGCATCCTAGTCTAATTTGCCAATTTGCAAACCCAAAACCCTAAACCCCATCCCACACCCTTTAACCGGCACCACTGTGGACGATCCCAAACCCTACCTCGCCCTTGAAGACCCCATTGTGGAATCCTTCTAGAGCCTTGAAAGTCAGATACCAAACCCCAAGGGTCCAAGTAGCCAATAATCATATACTCTCCAAAACCCTAAGCTACATGACTACTATCCCAAAACCGAGTACCTAATCATTGGGTCCTGTGGACCCTTGGGAAAAAATCATGTTCTCTCGAAATACAACCCTACAGCATTCCACCCTATGCCCGGTAACTTAGAGACTCCGGTATAGAGCATTTCCAGCATGGTTCAGGAACCCATTAACGGAACTGCGCCCTCATGCAGCTAATCTCTTATGAAACCCTTCAAGGACCCGTCCCCTAAACCCTAAACCCTATAAACCCTAAAGCTCAGAGCCTTGGTCGCAATTCGGCACCATTCTGCCGCGCGTCTGATTCTGGTCCCCCCTCGGCGACTCCAGGCTTTTCGTGCCAAATATAAAAGGTTTAGGGTTTAGAGGTTAGGGTTTAGGGGTTAGGGTTTAGGGGTTAGGTTTTAGGGTTTGGGGGTTAGGGGTTAGGGTTTAGGGGTTTTCGTGTCAGATAAATAACTCTAAACCTTAAATCTTACACCCACATGACTCAGGGAGTATGTAAACGAGCTCTGCAAGGATGGGCGTCTGGTTTGGGGCTTAGGGAGTCTTGTCAGTTGAATCGGGAATCAGTTTCTTCAAGGGTTCCCGAAGCATTCAATAAAGGTTGCGCCTAGAAGGTCGGGACTGGGGGTCTTGGTTGAAGGGTCCTTGTCGGTTTGACAGGCTCTTTTAAGGACTTCAAGGGGGTGTACAAGGATGGGGCATGAGGTTAAGGTTTAGGAAATCTTGTCAGTGGAATATGGGGCTTAGGAGCTTGGGCTCTTTGGTTAAGGCAAATCACGGCTGAGGGTTCAAGGACATGAGTAGACGGATAAACGGGCAGATGCAAGCATCAACAGACAGTATGCATGTGTACATACATACATGCATACAGACATGAATACATACATGCGTACATGCGTACATGCATACAGACTTACATACGTAGCAGACAGTATCATATCATGCCAAATCAGGCCATATCATACCATGAACGTATCATATGATACCGCTTCACATCATCAGAACAAATCATACCATCTCATATCAAACCATATCTAACGATATCATATCATATCATCTCATTTCAGATCCTGTCATATATATATATATATATATATATACGCACATGCACGAAAACAAGTCATTGTAGAAAAGGATTACGGTGTAGCACTGTCCGAATGAAGCCGTAATCCTCTATCGGCCTCGAGCGTGCTGTGAAACAGGAGCTGCACCCCTGAACGGCATTCTTCCTCTGACTCTGACAGCCCATGCCTGTCACAAAACAGATACACCCCAAACCTATTTCAAGGGTCAATAACTAGGGTCATAATGAGGGTAACTATACTTATAACCTCAACTAAGGTACCTATAACCTTACTTACTAAGTCCCATGATCCTCCAAGTAGCCGTTTACTCATCGTAAAGACACACACGCACACACAGAACCATCTCAAGAGTCTTAAACCTAAACCGACAATCTGAACCACAAATCAACTTGGCCAACAACAATGACCCCTCAACCAACCTAAACCCTAAACCCTAAACCCTAAACCCTAACAAGCTTTCGCCCCCCGCTAAGTCTGAATATCTGCCGAGGGTCTGCAGCTCGCGGGGCCATGCTCCCGACCTGCCGAAACCATCTTAGGAGTTACGGCAGCAGAAGGTTCGGGGGTTAGGGTTTAGGGGTTTGGGGTTTAGGAGTTTAGGTTTCGGGTGGTGAGCTTCTAGGGTTCGGTAGTGTCTCGTCACGATCTACTGTATACGGGCCTTAGTAGTTTGAATAGGGCCTTGGGCTCTATCGAAACCCTCACGTTATTTCTTGTAGTGTTCAGGGTTTGGGATGTTGAAGGTACAGGGCTTTAGGGCTAGACTATAGGGTTTTGGGTTCAGGATTTAGGGCTCAGGGACGCGTACTGTGGGGGGCTTAATAGTCGGAATGACAGAAGCTTGGGGGGCGGGGGGGAGGGGGTATATCGGACTGTTGTTATATGCAAGTGTATCCAGGAAACAGGACCAGAGCTCGACAGTATGTAGGAAGCTCCGGATTTAGGAGGAAGATTGTCAATGTTGCAGATTTCGGGTTTAGGGAGTCTGTAGGCCTCAACTACACTTTCAGCATCTGGAATCCCTATGCTGAATATCATGCCGAGGCCGTGGTCTGGGATACCCAGTAACCTAAGAATAAAAAGGCCTCTCTTTTTGGTATTGGGTAACTTCATAAGGAACCTAGGACTACAATTTGGAATAAGGGTACTACTGGGCATCCTAGTGGTACTTCATCCAACATGTCGGGAGACTACTCCATAGCTAAGCCGAAGCTAAGCAGCTAGAGCTCATTGCACGAACGCCCGGATAGCTGCCCTTTTGCTATGGTCTAAGGGCTGATGCTGCGGGGGATGAAGTTCCAAGGAACGATACGATACGACATCTGGCCCTTGGGCTATCTGGAGCCCCATTCTTCGAACTTTGCTTCCGTAGGTTGTACCTAGCAGGTCTGAAGCACAATGACACCCCTAGTCGAACTGTTCACGCCTCTGTACCGTAAGCCTGAACTCTTAAACCTCTCAACCCATAGCCCCTAAAACCTAAACCAGGCATGGTGTCTGGGTCAAAAACTCTGAGCCTCCTCCAAGTATTGATTCATCCGAAATTCCGGGGCTTGGTGGCAGGCGGTTTACGGCACTCCCGAAATTCAAAAAACGAAACAGAAAGGCAGAAGGTAACAAACAAAGAGGCAACAGCTTGAGAGATAGCATAGCAAACAAGCCACGGAAAGCAACAAGTCAGTGCGAGGGAACACAACCCAAAATTTCGGCAGGGAACCTCGGCCCATAGCTTACGGCAACAATACAACGGAAAGAACACGATCGTCAATCAACATGGGTGATTGTCAAAATTAGGGTCCCTTTTGGGGTACCCTAAATATTAGGTGCCGTACTATATTAGGGACCCAACAAGGGACCATCATCTTGACAACCACCCACATGAAACATCAAGAGCCAAGCTATGTGTCCTGCCCCTGCACACCGTTGATCGGATCTGGCTGCATGATTCCTTATCGAGCCTCTCATAGAAGCCGTCTAAGACTCCTTGTACTTGTAGAAACCTTTCAGAACCCTTATATGAGTATATCCGAAACCCTAAACGTGCCAAAACTGCTTAAAGGATCATGAAACTTAGTAGCTAGGGCTAGAATTAGGGTAACTATACTTATAACCCCAATGAAGGTACTCCCATGATCCTCCAAGTACACAGGTATCTGGCAGGGAGACTCAGCCCACGAGGCATCGGAAAATCTCCACGCGTCTTTGGGCCTCTGGCCCAGATCCCTTCATCCAAAGTTCAAAAACCCTGTCCTTAGGGCTCTAGGGACTCATCCTCTAAGGCTATTGGGCCCAAAGGCCATACTATGTGAGGCATTCCGGGGCATTTGGAGACTTAGAGTAAAGATCAGAATTGAAATAATGTGCTGCGAACCGAAACCTGAAACCCTGAAGTTCAAAACCTGAAACCCTGAAGTTCAAAACCTGAAACCCTGAAGTTCAAAACCTGAAACCCTGAAGTTCAAAACCTGAAACCCTGAAGTTCAAAACCTGAAACCCTGAAGTTCAAAACCTGAAACCCTGAAGTTCAAAACCTGAAACCCTGAAGTTCAAAACCTGAAACCCTGAAGTTCAAAACCTGAAACCCTGAAGTTCAAAACCTGAAACCCTGAAGTTCAAAACCTGAAACCCTGAAGTTCAAAACCTGAAACCCTGAAGTTCAAAACCTGAAACCCTGAAGTTCAAAACCTGAAACCCTGAAGTTCAAAACCTGAAACCCTGAAGTTCAAAACCTGAAACCCTGAAGTTCAAAACCTGAAACCCCGAAGTTCAAAACCTGAAACCCTGAAGTTCAAAACCTGAAACCCTGAAGTTCAAAACCTGAAACCCTGAAGTTCAAAACCTGAAACCCTGAAGTTCAAAGACTTGACCTGAAACCGTTCTGCAGGCCCTATAACCCTACTCTGCAATAGAAGCTTAAGCCCTAAAGTACCCATAGAGTCACTATAAAATCAAGGCCTATCAGTATGTACTGTATAGGCACACGGAGCCTTAGGGTAACCCTTTATACCTGAGGGCCTGGAGGGTTGCCCCATTGAACGTTAGAACCGAATTCCCAAGGATTCGGCCTTGCGCCAGTGCCACGAAGAGCGACGTTGATGTCCAGCTCAGTGAGATCTGCGCCTTTTTCAGGCGCAAAACCACTGACACAATCCGGAAGTAGGGGCGCAGTCCTTGTCTTTTGCATGTGTAATCCGTATCGAAGTCCCCATTTTGTGAGACTAAAGGATAAAATTTGACCCAAGGAAGACCTACAATGGAAAATGCAGATCCTACGATCGCAAGAATGTAGAGGCTTCCTTAAATTGAGATTCATGGGTCATGTTTAGTTGGGCACTAAGTCGGCTAATACGGGGTATATTTATCGTTACCCTACTTCTAGCCCCACTCATAAATACTCTTGAACCTCCAAGTAGCACGGTCGGATCTTCCAGATTGGGGGCACAGGGTTTGGGGCGCACAGAATTTTCTCACGGCTTCAGAAGGGCCGAATCACGAAGACGGGGCGGGCTTGCACTCTGGAACGCCGCTGTAGAGGTAATGGTTTTGGGCTTGGGGTTTAGGGGTTTCGGGTTTAGTATACAATGCCCCAAAGGGTCTAAGTGTAAAAGCATGGTGTATACTCTGGGGGCCCAAAAACCCACTCAGAGCCTTTCTTGGTATGTGGAGAAAACTCACCCAGAAAGCCCAAGACCCTCTTAGGCGCCGTAGGGTCGACCCCAAACCCAAAACCCCTCGCCACAAACGATTACTGCGCAGCTTGCTACAACCATGACTGGCGTATGTCCGGGCGAAGCTAGACCCCAGAATCTGAACGCTATCCACAGGATCGAAGCAGTCCAGAAGCCTTGCATAGTATGCCCGCCTCGCGAAAGAGTGCCACCTTAGCTGATTTTAGGGTTTAGGGTTAAACTAGGGTTGCGGGGTTTATAGTTCAGGGTTTAGGGGAGGGTGGCGTGGTGTTCATGGTTGAGGTATACCTATATGAGGGTCTAGGGCAAAGGTGTCAGGATTCGGTGTTTAGGACACTGGTACTTAATCTGTTTGGAAGATATGGGCATGCTCCAAGTGTGAGATGGAACTGCACGGAATAATCTGATGATTGGCCTTTATTTCATCTGGAAACTGATCTTACTGCGAATTCAGGCTCGCATGGCTACTAGCACATTGCTGATCGTGGCAAGCTATGTCAACACCAGGACTCCCCGGCCTCCCACAGTTCCAACCTAAGCCACACCCTGCTGAATCTCAGCGACATCCTATTTAAGCGGAGTGCCTTGACCTGTAATCATAATTTTCTTCGGGTGTCTATATGGCTCGTTTCTGCCTTGACTGTACCCGGGCCGTATCTCCAGCATGCAACCTCTCGCACATGCTGGATTCTTGTAGCCCGGGACAGCACTTCGTATATGACCCGTATCTGTCCACTGAGCTTGTCTCATGCTCAAGCGGTCATCGAAGGTCACATCACTGAACCCGAAACTCTAAAACAACGACCCCTAAAGCTCGAGACCAAACATAAGAGCATCCCTTGGAGTGAGACACGAAGACTTCAGGGCCTAAGCTGCGCCCAACTCCCAATATGACACAGGAAGTTCCTCGAGCTTTAAACACTACAGTTTAGGGTTTAGGGTTCAGGGGTTTGGGGTTTGGGGTCTTTGGGTTGTAGGGTGTTTGGGGTAGAGATTCATTCTCATGTGTCGGATTCACAAGCACTGCAACCTCCAACAGAAGACCCAGATGATGTTAGGTAACCAACTGCATCTGCAAAGATAGGGACCTAGGGAGGGGTGCAGGATTCCTGCGTCGTAGCGTCGCTATAAGGGAGTTTCCGAAAATAAGGGACCCTAATACAGCACGCAAAATAATGGGATCCTTCTTGTAAGGACCCCCAAACAAGGTAGCCTTCATCATCGAGCATCAAGAGATAAGAGCTTCAGTCATAAGGACTCTCAGAGGGGTAGGGGGGGAGGGGGGTAGGGAGCCTGCATGGCCGATTCAAGGAAGCATAGTCCCCTACCCCCCCACCCCTAGCTCTCCAAGGCTCCCTATGACTCAGGGTTTTACGCTTGTGTTGTACTGCCACGCGTTTGGCAGAGGCGTATGATTCTGGTTCATACATGTTCTCCCGAGGGTCCATATACACTACCAATATGGATTTAGGTGCCAAAAGACCATCCCTATTATGGTTGTGGGAACCTAATTCCATAATGGTAGTTAGTGTATATGCACTCTTTGGGGTTCCCCCAAAACCTTAAGCCCTAAACCCTAAACCACGGATAGAGGCAGCCGAGAGTCTCAGTGCGAAGAGACATAGGTGCCAGCTCATGATGCGGAGCAGCATCGCAGGAAGCTTCAGCGTATCAAGGCCCCTCAACTTAAAGGATCATGGGACTGAGTAACTAGGGGTATAATTAGGGTAACTATACTTATAACCCCGAATAAGGTACTTATAACCGAACTAGTTGCCGACGTATTGTCGCCTCCAGCGTCCGGAGGTCGTCGTATCAGTAGTTCAATGAAGTAGAGATAGGGAATTGGTGAGTGCATATAACGTGCATTTTGACCAGTGGCGCATATATGTATACATATACACCCGTTACCACATATTTGTTGTCTTCTTCGTTGTGATCATCTTAGTCACACGCTTCGTCTTCATCAACACCACAGTCAGCAATTCAGCACTGGCTTTAAAAGTTGCTTTAAGGTCGTCGTCAGTGTGCTAGCAGCATCAGTAACAGCCGCAACATAAGAAGGCATGCCGATACATAGCTATCTACAGGTACATGTCTTTGTCGAATGTGGTATTGCAAACCCGTTAAAGCAAACACACACACACAAACAGATAGACCGACCTAGATATATGTAGATAGAAAACCCTTGCAACGATGTTCCTTGGCTTGCCTACAGTAAACGTACTTAAAGGTGCACAGTCTTTGCAAGGCCTTGACAGAAAGAGATTCCGATACCCTCGAGGGACGGGTGCCGACGAGAGCTAGGGGATCTCTTTTGCGTTTCCAGGTGCTGGGCCCTCGCAGTCCGCGCTTCGCGCGAAGTGCAGAGAGCAAGCCCCCCAGATGGGCAAAAGGAGCCGGCTGCAATGCCCTAAACCTTTAGCTCTATGATCCAAGATCACTAAACCACCCTAGACCTTATAATCCCAAACCACTTGTGAACCCTAAACCCTCAACCTTCTATAGGTTTCAGGGTCTATGCCTCGCTCATGAACCCCAAAGTCCCGCGAAGCAGGAATGTGCAGCTTGGCCCACTTGAAAAAAAGGGGTTGAAAATTGTAAAGCTTGAAGCAATACTGGGCAGCGGATCGGCATGCAGGGTCTTTTGGGCTTCATGGCTCGAAGTGGTAGGACGTACAGCTTCGAGGTGCGTGTTGAGTAAATGTAGGGGCCTTAATTAGAATGGGGTTGTGGGGTACATAATGCAACAACTACAATAAGGAACCCCAAAAATATGTATAGGTAATTGTTAAGACCCCTATAGTACATGCACATTGCGATTACTTGCAGCGCTGCTACGTCCAAGTAAACCCTGACGCACAAACTTTAGCACGATTTGGGACTCAGGTGACTTCTGGGAAACCGATCATGCTGCTGCAGATGTTGGGGCATGCCAGAACTCATGAGAACCTATTCATATCTAGACATACAAATAAAAAATGTGTATATATATATATATGTGAATGCACATACTTAATCTTTGTATTCACTCCATGGGAGTACAAAACAAGATCGCATCAACTATTCAGGTGCCCATACATTGCGGCGCACCCGCAACCCTCAATCGCGAGCCCTCCCGCTCGACTCGTACACCTCAACCTTCGGCGAACGCTGTGCTGTCTACACTCTCTCCCCTAAGGCTCCATGTGCCTACATAGTTATCCTTCGGCCTTTCAGTACCTGTATAGGTGCCCCTTTACTAAGTATATACTACCCATAGGCCCCAAAGTAGTTCCTTTTTGGGGTTCATATATAGAATCCTATAAGGTAATCCCAAAAAGGAGCTACTTTGGGGCCTCTGAATCCTATAAGGTAATCCCAAAAGGAGCTACTTTGGGGCCTCTGGGAAACACCTCAGGGCTGAAGACCTCTGAGGCCAACAGCCGTCTTCACTGGTACCCTTATATAGATCCCTTATAATAGCCCCTTCTAGAGTAACCTAGGAACAAAAAGGGTGCCCTTTGTTTTTTAAAGGGGCTTATAAGGGAACCAGAACCCTAAAAAAGGGAATAAGGGCCTACTCTAGGTCCTAGTAGTCCCCTCAAAAAGGAACCCTGCTCTCCGACATTATAGTATATACCCCTTATAGACCCCTTGTAATAGCCCCTCTAAACCCCTCAAAAGGAACCCTGCTCTAATTCAGGCCCCTACATTATACTACCCGCAAATAGATCCCTAGCCGAAACTTTTGAAAACCAGAACCCGACAGGGCCGGGAATCATACTGCGGGGCCTCGAACGTTTACGCTTTCTCCGGGAGGGTGGTAACCCAACGGGTGCATGTACTACCATGTAGGCTCTTGGGAGATATTTGTGCCAGGAAAGTAGATGCTGCACTGTTCTAATTGGATCCTGAAACCCTAGACCCTAAATCCCGAAACCGTAAACCCCGAAACCCCGTAAACGGGTAGAGGTAACAGAACGGCTCAATGACTGACAGGTTATGGCCTTTGGAGCTCAAGCGTCTGACTCTGGCCACAAAAGGTGTTTAGGGGTTACCTAAAGTGTCATGGGCCTTGCAACCAGGGTTCCTTAAAGGGTTCCTTAAAAGGGAATCTGTAAGGGTTCTATAGTGATTTATGATCAGGATAACTACACTTTGTAACCCCAATTAAGGTACTTATAGTCTTACTTACTAAGTCCCATGATCCTCCAAGTAATCAGGGTTTACAGTGGGGCTTGGGTTTTAGGGTTAACGGGTTTGGGTTTTCTTGTCAGGGCTTGTTTACGTGTTACCTCAACCACAAATAAACCTGCCTTCTTGGGGCTCCAAATCACTTCGTTACTTAGGTTGTTCACGGTCCAGGTAGGGGTCCAGAACTTGGGGTTAAAAGGATTATCTGGAGCCTGCGGGCGATATGGAGCGTCTGAATATGTCATAAGTAGTGATACAAGATCTTCGCAGGGCTGTGTAATTAAAAAGGATTACAGTTACAGTTACAGGGGCCCGAATAATCACCGTAGAGTTATGGCGGTAAGTTCTACCACAATCATAGAGGCTCCGCATCTAGGGGGATACGGATGCAATGACTGACCAACCAGACTTCTTCATACCCCAAGTCCGTCAACTGAAACTCTAAAATCCGATAAACACTGATGCAAGAAGATCGCGCCGGCTCAATTTTCCTTGCGCCTCTCCCACGCTTTGGCGGGTTGCCAGAGCTCAAATACCCCAGGTCCTCCCCCGAATGCAGGAGTAGGGTTTGATGTTTTGAGTTAGGGCTTAGGCACAATCCAAACTCAGTCGTCATCATGCTCCTCGCAAGGCGACTGAATCTGAGGAGGCGAAAGCAATGAAATCCGATTCCTAAGTCAGGAACCGCAGAATGCATTCGGCCTCATAATAGTAAGCAGAACCTAGCATGCTTCGGGCACATCTTATGTTCCCATTCCGAGCCCGAGATCTTCAGACACTAGACTGTCAAGGGTCAACACCATCAACAAAAACATCGAACGGGTGTCTCAGCACATCGAAGCTCTCAATCAAAACGCTTATTAAACTATAGAAACCTCTGCTATGACATGAAACTCCACGGGTGTTTGGCAGCTCATGGCTGTCACCATGTAAGGCTTTCGGGGTTCAAGAACATTCTTGATCAAGGAACCCGGCTGCCCAAGAGCCTCCTTGCAATCCCCAATCGCTTCATCCTTCCAATCGTCCTAAAGTTGCAGCTTCCGCATCACTTTCTTAGTGGCTCCTGCGTTCTTGCAGGAGCCTCTCACTGCAATGGAGCTTTCTGCAAGGTAGCGACGGACACCTGGGTACCTCTGGGAAGTGCGAATCGCCTTCCGCGCGCAAAAACTCAAAAATGACAGAGTATAGCTGTTCCTCCATCTCGCTGAACTGCTTGCTCCACTCCACTCCTCGAGGTTCGTACTCCGCACAGCGACGGCGGCCTTGTCGACAGGAGAGCCTCCCAAGTCCAGTTTTGCGGCCTCAGAGCCGGTGTTCAGCTGCTCGGAGCACAGGGAGGAGAACAACATCTCTAGGGTTTAGGGTTTAGGCTTTATTTAGGATTTAGGGTTTAGGCTTTATTTAGGGTTTAGGGTTTAGGCTTTATTTAGGATTTAGGGTTTAGGCTTTATTTAGGGTTTAGGGTTTAGGCTTTATTTAGGATTTAGGGTTTAGTCCAGGAACTCATGTGCCAGCAGTACTGGCGAATAAGCCACGTGCTTGAGTATGTTGATGGATGTTGCCACCCAGTAGGAAGCCCGCACTCTGCGCTGGCAAGACTTCCAAGGTGCGCAATCGTCTTGATGGCCCCGAACCGCTGTTGCTTTTCACAGCTCAAGTATGTAGATTCTAGGGTTTAGCCTTTACGGCTTCGGGGTGTGGAGATAGGGTCTTCTGCTGATTAATGGCCCCCAAAGGCTCTAAGGACACGTGCAATACAGCCCATAAACACTCAAACGCCCACATGTGAACCGTAAACCCTGAAACCCTCCAAAACACATTTACAGGAACCCTCACAGGAAGTCTTCAAAGAACCCTTAAAGCCTCAGCCTAATCCCCAGACCCTATAAACATAAACCCAGAAAAAGCCTTTCAACGAACCCTAGAAAGTCTCAAGAAATCCTACCCTGTGAAACCCCAGAGCCACTCCTCCATCTCGGCCATAGAGGCCTGCTGCACCATGCAAATAGGAGACTCTTAAGGGTTCCTTTAAAGGGTACCATAAGGGTTCCTTAAAGGGATTCATAAGGGTTCTATAGAGGGTTTAGTTTAGGGTTCAGCATCTGTGGTTCAGGCTTTTTAGGGTTTAGGGTTTACGGATTTGGGTTTCTCCAAGCGTCCATGTACCAAAATGTATAGACATTGGGCCCAATGTACCTATATAGGGAGGACTTTAAGGCGACAGTATAATACAATATTTGGGTACACGGACCCGTAAAGTTTAGGCCCGAGGCATACACCCCCACCCCCCCCCCCCACACACCCACTGCCCCCCCCACACACACACACACACACAGACACACACACACACGCACACACACAAAACCCCAATCCAATCCGCCAAAACCCCGAACCCTAAACACCAAACCATACTGTAAATCCGAACACCCCGAACCCTGAACCCGAATCCCAAACCCTAAACCCTAATCTCTTAACCGGGGGCCTCCAAGCAAGTCTCCACCCAGGCAAGCTCTGGATCCAACTCCAGGGCCCTTTTGCCTCGGCTACAGGGTTTAGGGTTTAGGGAGTAGGGTTTAGGGTTTTAGGGTTTAGGGTGGAAAAAGGGTCTAACTTCCCCAATAAGCCACAGAAATACAAGGTTGAACTTTCCGGTTTACTAAACTATCAGAACCAACAAGCTTAAAGGTTGGGTATTCGGGATCTAAGCGGTTCCTCGGGAGGAAGCTTTTAGGGTATGTTACACTCCGATAACTTTTGGGGACTCTACCGGGAGCCCCGAAAACCACCGCATCAACCAGTACTAAACCCCAAACAATGTATGAATCCTAAACACTTGAAGACGCAAACGAAAAGCGTAAAACCCCGGCTGGGGCCAGGTTGCAGGCATCCGCAGAGTCGCCGAATCGGCCCTGTCGTTGCCGAACAGCCTGCACGGTGGCACTTTCTGGGGCTTATTGAATGTAGGGTTGGTTTCGGTGTTTACCTATAGTCTCCATTGTATTTCCTTTTTTTGGTTAACCAAAATCTCTACTATGGGATCCTAACCGTAAAACTGGTTAACCAAAAAAAGGAACTACAATGGAGACTATAGGTAGGGTTGAGAGTGAGGTCCGGGGGGTAAGGGGTGCGAAAAAGAGGCAGGTTCTATAAGGGTTCTAATCAGTGTCTTACGACGGTTTATATGTTTCAGAGAGTGGTTGTAGGGCTAGAGTTTCGGGTTTGAGGTCTAGCTTGCAGAACAAGTGCCTGAAATGGGGCTTACAAGTTCGGGGTTTGAGATTTGAGTTTCGGTTTAAGGGGCACTTTTTCCGGCAGGGGGGTCGATTTTGTTAGCAGCCGCTCCTTGGCCAGAGGCAAAGAAGATGCCTCGGACTCTTGGTAGCTGATGGTTGAAATCGTCCGCGCGGGGTCACACTCCAAGGGTAAAAGGAGGGACCCTTAATAAGGACTCCTAGGTATATACCCTTAATATATCTACTATATACCGATTATATAGCCCATTATAGGGTAGGGGTCCCCATTAAGAGTCCCTCCTTCTCCCCTTTGACACACTGATCTTTGCCTGCTTTCAAAGCTGTTGGCCCAAGGCCGCTGCCAGCGCTTTCGGCTCGCAACCGGGAACCCAAAGTGGAACTAGCCTGAAGGACCAAATGACCCCCAAAAGTAGGGGCCCTATACCCATATACTATGAATCCCTATATGGTATACGAACCTTAAACCCTTTTGGGCTTCATTTCGTCCTCAAGGAGCTGCGAACACCTTCGGTTCAGATCCCGGTGGCGCCGAAGTCTGCAGCATCAGGTGAGCTGCTGGAGAGCCTTTGCCTTGCTCTGCTTGCTTTTCGTACCGCGGCATCAGATGGTCGAAGAAGTACCTAAAGGATCCTGGGACTTAGTAACTAGGGTTATAATCAGGGTAACTATACTTATAACCCCAATTAAAGTACTTATAACCTTACTTACTAAGTCCCATGATCCTGCAAGTAGACGGAACCACGGCAAGTGTAGGGGCAGTTGGCGCTAGCACGTCCCATCGACGGCCTCAAATCCCAATCGGGATAACCCTTATCCCAAGGCTCTACTTCTCGCAAACACTCGCGAATCCCACAAAACCTTGCACTGCACTGAGTCCCTGGCACCCAGCAAGCCCCAAGCCGCGGCGCAGTCGTCAGAGACCTTTAGAGCCGCCTCCGCCAATCAGTAAAGGCAAAGTCTGGGAGCTTCGTTCTGCGGTCGCCGCCTCTGTGTACCAGGAAAAAGTTGATACGTGACAGCTGGCAACTGGCGTCGGTTTTGCGGTTTTCTTTTATTTAGGGCCTCGGGCCAGCAAGGGTTCAGTTAATACCAGAAAACTATCAAGGCTCCATGATCAGGTGCTTGGGGTTAGGTTTGGCATAAGCCCTAAACCCTACACCCTTAAGGTCATGGAGAATGAGGATTCAGCTTCGAGGACTTGGCAGCTTAGGGTTTCATGAGGTTTCGTGTGGGCTGTCGGAGGGTTCTTATTTGCTTCCTTCCTTTGTGTGTAACAAGGACCCTTCGCAAGCGGTCTGAGGACTAAGGATGGCTTAAGATTTATATAGGCCGAGGGGTTTAATAGGGTTTGTGGGCTTAGGGTTTGGGGAGTTGAGGATTTGAGACGTAAGGTTTGGAGGTTTAGACTTAAAGCTTCCATTTTCTGACGCTTGGGATACGGATTCAAAACCACAGCGCTTAAGGCTTCAAGTTTGGAGTCAGACCGGCAGCGCAAGATCCTAGGGCTAGCAGGCGCTGGCGTTTTTTGAGGATCGGGTCGCAGGATGTTGTGAGTTTTCGGGACTAGGGTTCAGAACAGGGCAACGGTTCAGGGCTTGGGGTTTAGGATTTAGGGTTTGGGGTTTGGGGTTCAGGGTTTCGGGTTTGAGGGTTCAGGGACTCAGATTCAGTATATCGGTGCTTCATTTCGAGGCGTGTTCGCTTCAACACCTGACTTGTCGCACCTCGGCATCTGCAGAAGCTGCATCGCAGTTGTCCTGGCAGAGGAAGGTGGTTCCGCGACCTCAGGAAAGGAATGAGAACTTATCTGCCAGCGAAGGAGCCCTAAACCCTGAATCCCATGAGCCCCATGCCCAAGTGAAGCCCTAAACCCTAAACCCTAAACCTAGGCAAGGTGCAGTTACGAGTTCAGGGTCATCTGACCCTTACTTAATGCGACCTCGGACCCTTTTCTACGATACAGCTGGTTCTTAAGGAGATCCTGTCCCATAAAGAACCCTTAGAGAAACATGTGGGAGTTTCCGACAATCAGGGGTACCTTCTTTATTATAATTCAGGATCCTACGATTCAGGGTACTATATTAGGGTCCCCTATTTTCTGAAACTCCCATATAGGTGCTCTAAGAAATTACCAAATCAACCAGGCAGCTCAGCCATGCCTCCACGCGCCCGGGTTCAAGTTCGAGCACCTGGCAGTTCTCAGGGTTCAGCGCTAGGGTGTAGGATTTAGCCCCAAGGGTCCAAAGGAATCAGCAATCTAAGATAAGGGCCTTAATAATTACCAATACTATTTTGAGGGTTCCTTATTCTAACTACAGTAGAAAGGGCCCCAAAACCCTATTCTAAATGTTAAGGCCCGTATATTAGGGTTAGCTCGGCTGCACAAACATGACTCAAACGTGCAGGTCATCTGTCTGGTTCTTAGTAGGGAATGGGGGAATGGATCCCTAATGCAGTCGCTGCACAATCCCCAATAATGGCCTCCATAATCCATGCCCCCATTCCCTACTGAGAACCAGACAGACTATAATCCTTAAACCCAAACCCGAAACCCTAAAACCTAAACCCTATTATAACCCTTATCCCGAAACGTGTTTGAATGGTCTCCGGATCTTCGGGTGTGAGGCTCGATACCTAAAACGGCCGTAAAGTGCCAAAGCCCAAAAACAGCGCTTCACCCGATATCATGAAACCCGAAATCCCAAGGCCGACACCGAAATTAAACAGATACGGAACACTAAGATCAAGAACCGTTCGTCATCCAAGTTTGAGAATATAAGAACAAATTCAGACTAAAGCTTGCTGCTGGAGCACTCTGTGGCAATGAAACAGACGAGAAGAGCAGGGACATACGATGCCAGACATCAATACGGGAGTTTCCGAAAATGGGGGACCCGAATATGTTACCCTAAATAGTAGGATCCTTATTATAAGGACCCCAAAACAAGGTACCCCTAATTTTCGGAAACCCCCATATCAAAAACTGAGTGTTGCAGCTCTTAAAACATAGAAGAGGTTCATTGAAACTCATACATTGCACTCCTCCTCGTTGTAAGCAAAGGCACCTCACCGAAGTCCGCCAGAGCGCGAATCTGCAGGCATACCAAGAGGGCCCATTTTATACTGCAAGCATGGAGTTAAGCCCCCCCTCCACAACCATAGTACTGGGAGGATCATGGAACGTAGTAACAAGAGTTATAAACTAAGCAACTACAGTTATACTCATGACTTACCAGGTCCCATGAACCTTCAAGTATGGATGGCCTGTGGGAACCTAGTTACATACCACTAGTATATATCCTTAAGGGTCCATGTACCCAAATAGTATATACTTGGGCCTTAAAGTATTCCCTACATAGGTACATTGGCCCAAAAGTATGTACCATTTGGGTACATGGACCCTTAGGGTTAAGAACCCTCTGGGTATATGAGGCTGGGCTTGGCTTTGCGGCTCGGGACCTCAGTCCAGGTTTGGGGTTTACCCAAAGGCTGCAGAACAGTATAGTATATACTTTTGGGAGACCCAAATATCTATACTAAGAGCCTACTAATTATGATGGTACATGGATCCTTTATGGCATAAAATTTCGTACTCAGGATTTCCGGTTGAAGGGATGATGTCTGTTCGCTTCTGTCGAAGCATCTTCCGGGTTGCGCGATCAACACCCCCCACCCCCATCCACATGCGGGCCGTCTATTCTTCATCCTGCCACGTGAGCATTTTTGAATGTTATGGGCAGCACCGACAAATGGGATAGCCCCAAACCCTAAACCTCAAAACCCTTAATTACTGTAACCCCCAAAAACACCAAAAAGCTAAAACACAAGAGACACTAAATCCCTAAGCCCCAAGCCCCACCTTCAGTAATTCAGACTCCGAGCTTCACCCTCACTGCCCAAAGTTCGACAAGTAATATGCCGAAGACAGAGCCTTGCAAGCTCTGAGGGTTTAGGGGTTTAAGGGTTTGGGGTTTAAGGGTTTAGGGGTTTAGTATAGATTCCCCAACACCTCAGACTAATGAAGCCCTGGGGCCAAATGTCTTAATGTTGGGCCTACACCTCAAAAAGGGACCTCTGATAGTCATGGGCCCTAATGGAACCGGATCTTTCATATCTAGGTTTCGCGATATCCACTTGCTAAACCCGTTGTATTAAGCTTCAGCAAGGAGACTTTCCGAAGAAAGCTCCACTCCGCTGCAAAACTAACCTCAGGGTCCGAAGGACCCAAGAGTTAGGTACTTAGGTTTCGTTACGCAACCTATTATTTGGGAGAGTTTATGATTCTTAGGTACTTGCACCTATGGTAGCCGACCATCCAAAACTCGTCCCCAAAGCATTCGGTCGTTTGGACCTTGCGGGTCAAAGTAATCCCACTTAAAGAGCCTGAACAAGAATTACAGCAACAGGGTTTGGGTATTTCGATGGCGGGCAAGGAATATTATAAGGAACTATAGTACAAAGTGTCATATAGTGGATCCACTATGTTATGTGCTTCGCAAAATCTCTACAGGAGCCTGGTTCCCAGCGTCGCTGTGCGCAGAGCCGCGCGAGAAGAGGACATTCGACCGCTCCTGGCGTCATCCAACAAGTACAGTACGTTAGTTTGGGTGTTTGATAGCAGGCTTCATGAGGGCTTCTTGGAGTTTAGAATGGTACTTTAGGGATTTGATAGGGGGTTGGTGAAGTTTACTTGGGGGCATGATGAGGTTTATGTAGGTTGCTATGTCACCCCCAAGGTATGCTTAGGCGGAAGAAATTAGTTAGTTTGGATCTACTATTGGCGTTTAGGTTAGAGGTTTTGGGGTGTGGGACTCCGGGTGTGTTGCATTGGAGGATGTCGCCGAACCTGAATTCGGGGATTCAGTAGATAGGGCTAACCCTAATCCTAAGGGTCCACGTACCCAAATCGTATATGCTTTCGCCGCAAAGTAGTCCCTACATACGTACTTTGGGGCCAAAGTATATTATATAGTATTTGGGTACATGGACCGTTAATAATTAGTATTTGGGTACATGGACCCTCAAGGTAAAGCATCCGGCCCGAACCGGCATCATCCGTGCCCCGAGCTAAACCCTGTGAGCCCTCCGGCTCTTCAAAGCAACTACGCCTTCCAAGCACGCCTGCGCTGCACGCTGAACCAAACCTGCCTTATCATGGCTTGAAGTTTTATTACTGGGGCATGTCACAGTAAATACACATATATTGAAAGAGCCCTGCAAACAAGTATCAAGAATTATTCAGGCCTATACATTAATCCCGTCCAAAACTCTGAACCCTGAGCCCTACCTTAGCCTCGAAATTCCCAACACCCTAAAAACCCAAAGGGGTCCTAAGCGCCTACACGGTAGAAAGTTGGGTTTCTGTCTTGGGAATTACTAACATGATATGGGGACGTATCCCGCATATAAGTATTTAGGACCCCTTGCAAAACCCTCCCTAAAGCTACCTCAAACCTGAAATCTTACATCCTAAGCCCTAAACCCCTGAAGCCCTAAACCCGTAGTTAAGCCTTGAACCCACGCACCCTAAAACCCCAAAACCACCACACCCCCCTCCAAAAAAAAAAAGCCACACTCGCAGGCTGACCTGGTCGGTGCTGCATCGCTGGAGCGCCTCCTCAAAGTCAAGGAGCGCCTGGACCGAGCTAAACCCAAAAAAGCTTCGGTTTCAGCAGCTTAGGGTTTAGGGTTTAGGGTTTAGGGTTTAGGGTTTAGGGGGTGTTAGGGTTTAGGGTTTAGGGTTTTAGGGTTAGGGCATTAGGTGAGCCTTAGAGACCCAAATGGGCTTCGGTTTAGCAGTTTAGGGGAATAAGTACTTAAAGGACCATGGGACTTTGTAACAAGGGTCAATAATTCGCGCAATTGTACTGGACCGAAAGGAACCCAAAGGAGCTTCAGGGATTTCGGGTTTTCGGGTTTCAAGGTTTGGGTTTACGGCTTCAGGATTAAGGGTTTGGGGTCTTTAGGGTTCAGGGTTTAGGGCTTTCAGTGTTAATGTGACAGCTAGAGATTGGCCGTCTGGCCACTGGGGTAACAAACAAGCCTTGCGAACAATTTGGACAGTCAAAGTACCCGGATAATAAGGGCTTCAGGAACTCTGGAAGGGCTCTGATACCTGAAACCCCAACCGTTTTTGGGACAAGTAGACCTTTATGCAAACACAGGCTATCATGCATTCATAGTAGTCCATTCCAGGCTCCAAGAGCTCACATCTTACGAAACCGGAACCCTAAACCCTAAACCCTATGGCCAAACCCCTAACCTGCATGATAAAGCCTGTGCCCTGCAACCCAATCTCTCTCTATATACATATATATATATATATATATGCATATATATATATATATATATATATATATGTGCATAAATATATATATATATATATATATATATATATATAGTCTGGAAAGGCTCTGCGCATGGTGCCTCTTTCAAGCGCCCTCGGGCGGCGTGCGCTGCGCCGCGCTGGAGCCAAGCCTCGCAACAAGTCTCAGGGCCTGGACTAGGAGTAATACCCCGATCAAGATGCTCTTACCCAGAGACTCCAATATCCCTTAGTTAAGGAATATACCTTAAATCACATTAGGGATCCTACTATAAGTTAAGGTATATTCCTTGTTGAAGGGATATTGGAGTCTCTGGGTAGTTCAGTCCTTATTGTCCTTAGCCTGGGTTTGGGGTAATTATATGTATAGACGGTTATTGGGCGGAGGGCCCAGGTACAGGTTCTGGTCGATGTCTCCAGGGCCATGCACCTACTACATGGTGTATACCTTGTTAAAGGGATTCCGACTGTATAAGCACTGTAGGTCAGAGTACATGAAACACGCGTATTTACACATGTGTGTTTGTATACCTTGCAACTTGGACCTTTACGGGAGTAATAGGCATTGTTTTGAAAATCGAAAAATTCTTAGCACAGACACCGAGCTCGTCCATCATGCTTCGGCTCAGGTCATGCTTTCTGCATCAATCCTGTGCATCCAACAATTGCGACGAGGTCTAGGTTTAGGCTTTACGGCTTAAATAGGGTCTGGGCCCGCTCCAGGTCTCAAGCGCTTGCGTTGGCGGCCAATACGTAGCCAGCTTCATTCTCAATGAGCCGGTGGCGTCGCATGCCGTGCCCAACCACAAACAAAAGGTCGGCATACCTATAGTCTCCATTGTGGTTCCTTTTCGGGGTTACATTATAGAACCCTATATATATATACATATATGTACATAACTGGTTGAACAAAAAAAAGCAACTTGCAATGGAGACTATATAGGTACTCTATGCCCCCCTTGGAACCATAATAAACATCGTATTTTTGATATCAATACTTACTAAGGAGATCACAAGAAGGATGATAGCCTCGAAGGCGCCAGGCCCTTGCACAGCAAACGCTTCGGAGCTTCAACCTTGTATTACTCTTGCCCCTAAACCTTTAGGCTTTACATAGGGTTTAGGGTTTAGGGTTCCTAAACCCCTAAAACCCTAAACATACGAATCGAAACTTCGGCCCCAGCGAAAAGTCAACGGAAACTGCATCAATGGAGAGTTTCGTCAAGCCTGCGAGTCAGGTGGTTTAGGGTTTATAGGGTCTAGGGTTTAGGGTTTATAGGGTTTTGGGGTTATTATAGGACATTATAGGGTTAAGGGTTAGGGTTTAGGGTCGTTGCTCGGCTAGGGCGCGGTGCTAAAACCCCACCTTGCAACCTCTCATGTCGATTCAGAACACGCAACCGAGACACTTTGTGTCACTGACAGAAAACATAGACATAAGCCTTTGAAGGGACACCTCAGCTTGAAGAGTCCTGAATACACTGTGCTGGGGTTTAGGGCTCAGGGTCACTACTTAAAGGATTATGGGACTTAGTAATTACGGGAACTATACTTATAACTACTTATAACCCCAATTATGGTACTTATAACCATACTTACTAAGTCCCATAACCCTCCAAGTACTTCTTGTTCCATGGTCAGGCATCTTGCTGAACCTATACACGAAACTCCAAACCCGAAGCCCTAAAGAGCAAACCCTCTGGAGACAGAACCCTTAAACCCAAAGCTTTACAACTTTACAAATCCTGAACTCTCTATAGTCTCTGCAGTCGAACTGCAGACCCCGAATGCCCTAAACCTGAATCCCTTTGCCCTGAATCGAAAAAGCACGAACCGTCTGTTCACGCTAGACCAGAAATATACCCGGGAGCAGAACCCTGCAAGCTTATGAGCATTGAACCCTATACTCCAAACCCCATTCCGATGTATTCTCTAAACCTTCCAATATACAATGTAGGAATACACCTGAAAATATTAATAATAGGATCCCGCATATTCCAGAAAAGCGGATATCGGAAGGTCTGCGCATTCCCTAAATCTTCAACCCTCACTTTCGGGCTTTTAAAAGCCCTCAAACGCCACAGCCATGGGCGAGATGCACTGGGTCCCACGGTTTAGGGTTTAGGGTTTACAAAGGGTCTAGGGTCTATGTAAGGTTCAGGGTTTAGGAAGTTGAATTAAGTTACCATAACAAGCAAGCCATGGGATCTTGAAAGGATCCCTGTTACTCTCTTCTTCAACAACCGGGCCCAAAATGTTCAAACTTTCTAAAACAGAGCTAATATATAAGGCCCAAAAGGTTAAAGTTCCCCCGTTCGCTATCTAAGGTTACAGTAGAAGCCCAAAAGTCGGAAACCCAATAGCCTCAATCCTCAAGAGTAATGTATAAGGAATCCCGGCATTATTCAGCCACAATCCGGTTTCCAACTTTATGGAGTTTACTATATGGAGCTACTAAAGGGAGCGCCTGGCAGCACTCCTCGTCGAGTTCCAGCACCCGAGTCCATCCCGTCACAGCCTCCAGGACTCTAAACCCAAAAGCCCATAGATTAGAAGCTGCCCCCACCCTGTATTTGTGACTATAAGGATTATATTACGGCCCTCTTATATTCTATTATACCACTATTACAGGGTGAGGGCCCCTTCTAACCCATAGAGTCTAAATCGCCTACAAGCCTCAAACCCCAAACCCTAAAGTCTAAAACCTAAGCTTTAAACCATAAACATTCACCCCCAAATCCCCAACCCTAAACCCTAACCACCCGAACCCGGATTTTTAGCTTCAAGAGAGCCTCTTCTGTATCTACCTTTCGGGATCTTGGTAGTTAGAATTGGGACCTTTAAAGGGTTATGTAAGGTTCTCTATAAGGCTTCCCATGAGGGATATGGGTGGAGTTAAGCACAGGAACTTTTCAAGTCGAAAAGGGTCTAAGGGGAATATTACAATACAAATATATAGTTCTAAACCGAACCCTCACATCCAAGGATAGGACGCCGATGACCATGAAACCACGAAAGGAGGCCGGGCCAGGAGGTTCAAGGTTCAGGGTTTTGGGGCACTTCACCGATACAGACACCCTCAAGCTTGAAAATCGGTTGGTCTAAGTATGTAGATGTTTAAGGTACAGGGTTCCAAGGCTTAATCATCTCGTTACGGAGGCCTCAGCAACTGGAAACTACTTATGGGTGCTCGAAGAGCTTCATATTTCGTCTTATGGTCTTTGCGCCCGAAGCCTTGAACCACGTGCGCTTCGAGCAAACCCGAATCCCTAAACTTATGACCCCTAAACTCGAAACTGACTAATGTATATGTTTGGACCCCAGAACAAAAACCCTACCCCCGAACCCTTTGAACCATATACCATATATACCCCATACCCCGTAGCTGGTGACCATACCTCCTCAAACTTGCCGGCGCCCGACCTCACGATGCAGACCGGGGCTCTGTGGCCCACCGAGTCTACGGTTGAGGCTAGGGTTAAGGGCTGAGGCGATAACAGGTTCAGGGCTTAAGGGCTTTGTATGGGAGTTTAGAACCTTACAAATTTGGGGCGTTGAGGTGAGGGTTTAGGGTTTAGGTCCTTAGAGGTTTGGGGTTTAGCTAGTTAGAGTTGTGAGGGACGGCTGTGATGGGCCTCGGAGGTGTGGGGTTCAGGGTCACTTATGATGTTCTGTGAATCGCTACGGGTATCCACTTTTCATTTAAGAGCCACACAGGTTTCAGAAAAGTGGGCAGCGGCCCTGCAGCAACCGTGTTTTGGAAGGCTTGAAAGAATCCCTATCATCAGGAACCTTATTAAGCCTTAAGCACAGAAAATCAATACACCTCTGACTCCGTTGCACTCTCGTTACTACAGCATCCCAACTGCAGGGAACGGAGGTCCCTAAAGCCCAAGATCTATAGATCCACAATTATATAGCCACTAAAGCCCCGAGGCTAAACCCTCACACCACAGGACCTCCGGTTCAGGATTTCGGCTCACATCAATGCTGCCACAGGACGATTCTGAGGCTGCCGTGTACGCAGCCAACAGCGCGGCGGCGTGCTCGTCCTTCAAGGTTGAAGGGTTTCTTAATGGGGGTCTTCGGGTCCTTTTACAAGGTTTCGGGTTTAGGCTTAGGGTTTCTTTAAAGGCTACTTTATGGTTTAGGGTTTGGAGCTTCTTTAAGGGCTTAAGGGTTGAGGTTTTGAAAGGTCAAGGCCTGGCGTTTCTTTAGAGGTCCAGCCTCTTCAGGATGTGGCGGTCACCAGGCTATTGAGCTGGGAACGGGTGAGCTTCTGCTGATGAGGGACCCAGGCACACTACTTAAAGGATCATGGGACTTAGTAAGTCAGGTTATATAAGTACCTTGAATGAGGTCATAAGTAGTTCTAAGTACAGTTACCCTAATTATGACCCTAGTTACTAAGTCCCATGATCCTTTAAGTAGACGTCCTCATCTCTGCCCTGCTCATGAGCTCGAGACGGAGCATCCCCAGTTCGAATGAACTCTTGCAGCAACTGCAGCTCGTGTGAATCACCACCCACGAGGAGGTGGACGGAGAATCGCGAGGACACTCATGGCAGACTGCCAATCGGAGGTCGTGACCCTCGAGGGCAAGGGCTCCCGAAGCCAAGCATCAATATGGGAGTTTCCGAAAATAGGGGACCCAAATATAATCCCCTAAATAGTAGGATCCTTATTATGAGGACCCCAAAATAAGGGACCCCTTCGGAGACTCCAATATGTCGCGAACCTGCTTCTTGACCTAGGGTTAAGGGCTTAGGATCCACATCCGACGAGACAGAATGACAAAGGCCGAAACCCAAGGCCCTACCACATCCCAATGCCATACTCCTGGCGGCTGAGTTCCCCAAGCAAGATTCATTAACCTTATGAAACATGGCAGGACTGTACAAGCCCGAAAATGTTAGAGGTACACACTGAGCTAGTTCACTTCAAACCCCCACCTAGACCCCAAAATAATCCAACTTTTTGTACAAAAGGATCTGGAAATCCAAACAAGGAGGGTAGATTCTTTAGTGCCCAGGTACACCCTATACCCACATACCCCCCTCTCGAATCTGAGGACTCCGCACCCGAAAACGGAATGCCCCAAGCATGAATCCCAACACCTGACACGGAACACCACAAACCCACGACTAAAGCCCTGTACAGGAGATTCAGGTATGGGTTTAGGGTTCAGAGCTTCGTAAGGTAAGCAAGGACAATACAGCTCCCAAGCACGAAACCGTTCATCGGCCTTCCATGCTCCCCTTGCCCCGTGAAACGGCCTCTGGATCAGGCGCGTTCTCCTGATCTTCTTCTTGCTGCATGGCCTAGGGTGTACCGTGTCAGGGTTCAGGGTTTCTGGGTTTGGGGTTTGGCGGGTCAGGGCTTTGGCAGGGCTTAGTCGAGTCTTGCCATGTCAGGATGAATCATGCGCCTTCCAATTGGAAGGGGGGAACAATACTGATGTTTTGGACAGTCCCCAAAGTAGTTCCGTTTCAGGGTGTGCCGGTTTATATGGTCAGATCCTATGTAGTGAAGGCACAGGAAAGGAAATCATAAAGGAGGAACCACGATGGAGACTACTGGTAGCGCTAGTGGTGACAGTACTGCTACCATCCTTCCTTTGCAGGGAACACCTGAGTCGACCGGCAGCGCAGGGCAGGAAGGGGCTTTGACTAAGCTGTTTACACACCTGAGAGAACAAATTCACATGAACTGTGTTCTGGAATAGTAGCTAAACCACCTTGCTGGCCACAACAGCCTCGCATGGCGAGTTAACCCAAACACTACATAACGGCAGCCCTCGAACCTCAAAGCCCAAACTGCCTCGGCGAGTTTGCGCATGCGCTCCATCTTTTCCGAGACCAGAGCCATGGCGCCAAAAGGGAGGGTTCAGGCTTAACGGTTTAGTGTAAATCTGAAGCTCGATTTCTCTCCGGCAGGCCAACGTTCGACCGAAGGCACACGTGTTCAATCCGGTGTGCAAAAGTGCATCGGCGCAGGCAGGGCCCTTGGGAGGGTTTCGTTCTTCAGGGTCTTGTTTTCAGTGTTTGGTTTCTTTGAGGACCTGCGGTCTCTCTGCTTCAGTTCTAAATTGGTAGCGGAGCCTTGCTCCAGGTGCGTGTTTGTCTGTCGTGTCTTTGGCCCTGGACGGGCGCTGGTGTGTAACGGGGTTTTCAGGGTTTTAGCTGCGAGCGATGTCGAGCTTCTACGGCTCCGGAGTTTGGCAGCCGACCACGGCTGCTGCTGGCCCTGAGCAGCCAGACGACGAGAAAGAGGACGAGGAGCCTAAGGACGACGCGTGGAGCGGCAGCGGCGGAAAGGACACTGGCTCGGACGGCTGGAGTGATGGACAGTGGAAGAACACTGTCTGGGACGATCACTCGTGGTCGCAAGACAGCTGGTGGCGATGGGATCAAGACTGGTCCAACGGATGGCGACGGCGAGGAAGCCGGGGCGACTCCTGGACTACCGCCTCTACTGGGAACAGCAGTGGCGGACACTACGGGCAAGGAGGCGATCATGGAGCTCAAGGAGCAGGCCCTGGTGTCCCTCGAGGCGGCGATGGAGGAGTTCCTCACGAAGGTGGCCGTGGTCCTTCGGAGAAGATGGTGGTGCCAACGTTTGCCGGCGACGCTGACGGGGACGAGCTTGGATCGAGCGCAAGATCCTACCTGCGGCAAATCGCCGCCTGGCAAAAGATGACGAGAGTTGGCGCCGACAAGCAAGCGCTGGTGTTGTATCAACACCTTTCCGGCCCTGCATGGGTCGAAGCGGAGCGCCTCGAGATGGAGAAGCTTGGTAGCACCCACGGCATGCAGTACTTTACTCAGTGGGTGCGTGACAGGTACCTTGATGTGCAGGTCACTCAGATTGGGCGCAGTCTGTCTGACTTTTTCAGACGCTTGAGGAAGCGGCCTGGGCAAAGCATTCGAGAATACTGTGGAGAGTTCGATCGTGCACATGCTCGTTTGATCGAGTGTGGATGCGCCCTGCCCGACATTGCATGTGCATGGGTCTTCATCGATAGGATGAACCTCGACGAGGCGGCGGAGCTCAACTTGCTGGCGAGCGTGAACAACATGTACGACCTCAAGCTCCTCCAGAAGGCGGCGATTGTCCAGGACAGAGCTCTTCGCAAGCCATGGGAGACCAACGGTACCGCTCCGGACAAGAAGCCAGGCGGCTGGTGGCGGAAGCGGGCCAATACAATCAACATGTCGGAGCATGAGGTGGAGGACGAGCTGGAGCGCGCCTTCGATGAAGAGGAGCCCCTCCACGACGACGATGCCGAGGAGCTCTTCGAGACCTACATGACGCATGTCAGCGCGAAGCAGAAGTACCGGGATCAGGTGCGCATGCGTGGCTCCGACCCTGAAGCCATTCGGAAAATGGCTGCTGAGAAACTCCAGAAGGTGAAGGCTCGCTCGTTTTGTTCCGGCTGCCGCCGGAGGGGACACTGGCACAAAGATCCGGAATGTCCTTTGAACCAAGGTGCTGCCGGACGACCGAATGGAACCTCGACGACCTCGGCGGCTTCTACCTCCACGACGGCTACCCCAACGACGAGCCCTACGAAGACTCCCGCGACCCGGGAGAATTATCCATGTCACGTTGTTCATGTCACTTGGGATCTTGAAAAGGACCGCGCCAAGGGGCTCCAAGCGATCACCGACACTGCGTGCTCGAAGACTGTGGCGGGCTCGCCTTGGATCGAGAACTATATCACCGCTGCCCGGGAGGTCGGGTATGAGCCCGAGATCGTTGGAGCTCGCGATGCCTTTAAGTTCGGTGCCTCTAAGGTTTTTGAGTCGACCTACGCTGTGATTGTGAACTTCGGGTTGGGGAGCTACCTTGTCAGGGTGAAGGTGTGCGTGGTCAATGGGGATGTGCCACTCCTCCTGAGCCGGACTACGCTCGGCTCCATGGGCATGATCCTCGACGTCGCGGAGAATCAAGCTGACTTCAGGAAGGTAGGAGTTCATGCCTTTCAGCTTGAGGTGACAGACACCGGCCATCCGGCACTTCCTGTTCGGCCCGAGCCTCTACTGGCCGGATCGGGCAAGTTTGGCCAAAACGGCAGCTCGGAGTTGCAGCTCATTCCGAAGATTGCGCAATACACGGTGTATGCTGCAGAACTACACGGTAAGGATGTCAATGATGAGCCCCAAAACAGTCCTGTTGATCCTTTTCCGAATGTTTTCTATCCTAAGAAGATTGGCAGCGCTACGTACAACATGTTGCTCGATGACAACTTTTGTATGAACTCCTTTGTCGCTTGGTGGGAAGGAACCAACATCTCGAACGACTTTTGGGTTGAAGGAGAGAATGTCTTAGTCCGTGTGCATGTGATCCCCAGAAAATCGTTCTTCGATCCCCGCGGTTGGTCCACCTCACAGAGTAAGCAGAAGCAGCTTCTTTTGAATGTTCTCGGAGAAGTGCGCAGTACATGGGGAGTCGCCTGCAAGGACTATCGCATGTTACATCCTCAGCATGCCCTTTGGAGACATGAGAATACGCCGACTTCGTTCGCCACACTTTGGATCGGCAGAACAGTGTTTGCTAGGAAGCCCATGCACCTCCTCGCCTCTCTTCTTCGCTCTCCTGTGCTGAGCGAACATGGCGCCCAAGTCGGCCGAGCTCCTGACGTCCCCCGTGAAGGTGAAGGGCCTGTGGGACTTCACGAAGGCGGAGCTCTTGGCGGAGGCCCAGGCACGTGGGCTGTGGGTGAACCCAAAGTGGACTGTGCCCGAGATTCGCTCGATCATCCAGGAGGACATGGGACGCGGCGCTCCGAACCCCATGGGCGGCAAGACGGCACTCCCGACCGGGTTGTCCAAGATGACCCTTGCGGAGCTCCAGACGACCGCCGAGCAGCTCGGAGTCACGATCCCGGACAAGGCCACGAAGGGCACGATCATGAGGCTGATCAGAGACAATGCGGGCGGCGGGACCCAGTTGGTCTTGACGTTCGGACGCTACAAGGGGTATCTCTACAGCGAGACGCCCATGGGCTACCGGACTTGGGCGATGAACGAGGTGAAGGCCAACCCCAATCGCTCCGAGGATCTCCAGATGTATGCCAACTGGTGTCAGGAGAATGCGATGGTGACGACCAAGCCGTCGAGGTACGTGGATGCGGACGACCCCGAGCTGATCGCCACGACCCCCTACGTGCCGGAGGAGTCAGTGGCAAATCACAGCTGGGAGCTTCTGGCGAGGGCACCCCGGGCGGGATCCTCTACGAGCCAGGTTCCGGCCGCAAAGGCCAAGGCGAAGGCCTACTCAGGAGCACGGCGGGGAGCACCGAGCACGACAACGAGCGAGGGAGGCTACCGCAGAATGGAGACCGAGCTGGACCCGGACGTGCTGGACGAGATCCACCACCTCGAGACGAGACTGGCTGTGATCAAGGATCGTCACGGGCTCACCCGCGGAGACGCGGAGGAGAGCCGCTCCCAGAAGTGAGCCATGGGGGCTCGGAGGGTTCCTCAGGCATCCGGACCCCTCCGTGGAAGCCCTACGTGGATGCCATCGTGGAGGAGCAGGTCGGCGACGGGGTGAACGAGATCTACGATGAGGACTATGAGGTGAAGGTTGGCGGCTTTGACAAGGAGCTTTGGGACGACATGGGCGAGGCAAGCCTGGATGTCGCCGCAAGGCTTCCTACTTTCGACGATGAAGTCTATGAAGCTGAGCCTCACCACTCTCAGGATGCAGAGCACCCCGATATCCAAGAGAATCAGACAGTCTACTCCAACTACCAGGTCCCAGCAGTAGGTGAAGGTAGCACCCACGATATCCGAGAGAATCAAACAGTCTACTCCAACTACCAGGTCCCTGTCGATGTTGAGGATAGTGTAGACTGTGGCGCGGACACCTATCTCCTTGACGAGGCTTTCACGCAGTGTGTGCAGGACCGTAGTGGTGCAAGCAATGAAGATCGAGACGGGAGGCCCTTGTTCATCGAGATCCACACGCAGAACAACCAGCTCAGCGAGTTCATGCAGGCCAGCGGCTTTGAGGTGGTGTCCATTGACCTTGTTGAATGGGATCTTGCCGTGAAGCAGAATCGTATAGATTTGGTGCAGTTGATTGTCGATCTTGAGCCAGATGTTGTTTGGTGCACGCCTGAGTACCGCCTCTGGAGGTCCAATCAGTCGCCACGGGACAGGGCTTGTGAACAGGCCCTTGCCCTGAACAAGGACCGGGAACGACATCATCGGCATCATCTTTCCGTGATGAACAAGATCTACAAGCTGCAGACTGCTGGAGGAAGGCTGGCCGTTCTTGAACACCCCAAGATGTCCGTTGCTTGGCGCAC